TGCCTCACATGTAGAAGCACGTCAATTTACTGGGGCCAAGATGCTGTAAAACTCTATTACTTCCTTTCACCGTGGTCTCCTTCCCTCCCTCAGACGTGGTGGTGCTTGGAGGTTTCCTCGGAAAGGGCAAGAGGACGGGCGTCTACGGCGGGTTCCTCCTGGGCTGCTACGACCCGGAGAATGAGGAGTTCCAGAGCATCTGCAAGGTGGGATGCCGCGGGGAGGGGGGATTACTTTACTAGAGACTAGAGGGCGATAGGGAAGATTTGAGGTATTACTATGAACTACGAGCGAAGGGAGGGGAAGGGAGGAAGATTGAGGGCTGGTATATGGGAGAGTTTGGTGGAGTGGATGCTCGGGAACTAAGTGGAGCTTTGGAAACGTTGCTTTTAAGAATGGAACTGATGAATTAATTAATTATTTCGGATGCCCGTGCATCGACTTCCGAAGCATAACACAGCTGTTATCTGAACTGGAAGTGAATGAACGTGAATTTAGCGATAAAATATGGTAGTGATCGTCTGCTACTGCGAAGAATGCTTACAAATCTCTCTCTCTCTCTCTCTCTCTCTCTCTCTCTCTCTCTCTCTCTCTCTCTCTCTCTCTCTCTCTCTCTCTCTCTCTCTCTCTCTCTCTCTCTCTCTCTCTCTCTCTCTCCCCCGCACAGATCGGCACGGGTTTCTCCGAAGAAGATCTGCAAAAGCACTCTGCCTTCTTCAAAGAGCACATCATCGACGCGCCAAAGTCCTACTATCGGCACTCCATCGAGCCCGATCACTGGTTCGACGCCGTCCAGGTGCGCTGAGCTCAGCTTCTGATTGGTCGAGACGGCCGAGGGAGGGCTCTGATTGGTCGAGACGGCTGAGGGAGGGTTCTGATTGGTCGAGACGGATGGGGAAGGCTCTGATTGGTGTAGACGGCTGAGGGAGGGTTCTGATTGGTCGAGACGGCTGAGGGAGGGTTCTGATTGGTGAAGACGGATGAGGGAGGGTTCTGATTGGTCGAGATGGATGGGGGAGGGTTCTGATTGGTCGAGACGGCTGAGGGAGGGTTCTGATTGGTGAAGACGGATGAGGGAGGGTTCTGATTGGTCGAGACGGCTGAGGGAGGGCTCTAATTGGTCAAGACGGATGGGGGAAGGCTCTGATTGGTGTAGACGGCTGAGGGAGGGTTCTGATTGGTCGAGACGGCTGAGGGAGGGTTCTGATTGGTGTAGACGGATGAGGGAGGGTTCTGATTGGTCGAGATGGATGGGGGAGGGTTCTGATTGGTCGAGACGGATGGGGGAAGGCTCTGATTGGTCGAGACGGCTGACGGAGGGTTCTGATTGGTCTAAACTTAAGGGAAGAGCTGTGCATAAGACTGATACGAGTTCTTGTATTCCAGACGTGAACATATAAATGCTGCAAAAATAATGCAGCGCGTTGGTATTGTCATTGTGATAAAAGCAGAAAAACGTCGTCTTACTGTGCCGGACTGCTGGCTTGAAGCCACTGTCCTGTCATTTTTATTTATTTATTTTGTGGGCGGTGGAAATGCCTTAGGAATACTCTCCTTTTGTTGATGTAGGAGAAGTCATGCTACAGTTATGAGACGGTCATGTCTTTTAGGTGGCGACTCGAACGAGATAACGGTTGCGTTCTAGCGATTCGGTCGTACTATGCTACGTGAATTCTCGCTTGCCTTTATTTCACGTATTTCTTGTTTTTGTTTTACTTGACCCTTTGCTGACCTTGGCCTTAATTGTCCCTTGCCCTGACATGACATGATGCAGCTGGTCTTGCAAGCATAACTCGACCATGGTCTAACCTGACACAGGCTTCACTTCTGGTTTGACCTGACCTGACCTGATCTTTCCACAGGTATGGGAGATCAAGTGTGCCGATCTCTCGATATCGCCGGTGCACAAGGCGGCGGTGGGTATCGTCGACCCTGAGAAGGGCATCTCTCTGCGGTTCCCGCGCTTCCTGCGCGTGCGGGAGGATAAGACGGCGGAACAGGCCACCTCCGCGCAGCAGATTGCCGACATGTACAACAGCCAGGACCAGGTCAGATGTGGACAGGGAGGAAAGCTAGTGGAAGACGATGATGTTGGTGTCCGTGATAGTTTGGGTTCTCTGCTGCGATTTCGGAATTGTAAGGTAACCGTTCCATTAAATACGTGGCGTGGAGCGTAGCGGCCCCACCGACTCCGTGGCGCAACGGTAGCGCGTCTGACTCCAGATCAGAAGGTTGCGTGTTCAAATCACGTCGGGGTCAAAACTTTTCGCGGCGAGCTCTGGCGCTACTCTGCTTCACAAGTGGACCAAAATGGACAACGTTAGCACAAATAAGAACGAAGGACGGTGCAATTAAACCAACCCTTAAATTTTATCTCATTTATACGTCCTCCAATTATTTCATTTAATCGCTGTTTTTCGAAACCTCAACGGTGGGAGGAAAATTATTGGTGTCCGCCTAAAACACCTAGCCTGTAATCTGGATTTATCCGGCTAACATTGTGGTGAATTATGTGAACATAAATTGCCGCCTCCTTTGTTTGAAATATTTCCCAATCTGACGGTTCCGTTTCTATTTTCAGGTGAAGAACCAGGCATCAAACAAGGGTGGCGAAGACGAAGAATTCTACTAGGCTTCGTGCTCTCTCCACCGTCGTGCCGTTTCGCCATTACACATCTCCTCAGTCATCAACTTGTGTGACCATCACCCCACAAGATACTTGCGCTCTTTGCAATTGCTGTAAAAGTGCGAAAATCCCTTGTAAACTTCTGCGACCATCCTGATGGTCCGGAGCCCCGCTTCTAGATAGAGGAAAGCCGACGTGAGTGAGGACGCGAGTTATGAAAAGAACGAGTGTGTGGAAAGTGAGTTATGAGGCGAGTTGAGCAGAATACGTGCAAGTTGGACGTTGGAGTGTTTGTATTGTTCGTGGGTACTTTTGTAGACGAAACTTTACAACGAAGCGTGGCTGTTTGTCCGTTTCACCGCTAGGTGTCACTAGTTTCGTCATACTATCAGCCCTCGTCACATGCTGTGAATGTGATCACATCATCACCACAGGTCAGCAGCTGGTCTCTGTCAGTGTTGCTGACTGCTGAGTGCGCCGACAGGCCATATTGAGGTGGCCAGAACGGCTAAAGCTGTCGCTCGTGAGATGTTAGGCGCTTAGAGGTCCATTGATAGAAGCACGCCGATATCCAGACTGATGACGTCACTTGATCTCTATTGAATGACGTCACTGCATCTCATGTGTAAGACTGAGAGTTTCGATAAGACCGGGTGTTTTCTGCATCGCAGGCAGTCGTGATTTGTGCGAATGTAACGCTCGTTTCTTGTCGCCAGCAGCTAAGCCAAGTTCAAGTAAAAGCAGTTGGGACATATAAAAGCATAATAAATGCATGTCTGTCTATTTTAAGGATGATGTGAATTTTCTGCTGCACTTTGACGGTGTTTTATTACAGTGTTATGTGCGTCTCCCGGAAGTGACGGGATGAGACATGGGCGAGTGACGCTTTTGGAAGAGAAAAACATGAACGTGACCGATAATACAATGTGATGGAAACCCTGGGTCTTTATTGCTTTTTATTCGATGACGAAGTACGAACTACTATTCTATCGTGCATAACGAGTGGGAACTGTCTGTTTCGCCTTGTAACATTGCAATTATAAAAAAGGCGAACAGACAATGCGAGAGATGTTGAATACCTGGAAGTCGACGACCCATGGACCCCAAGTAACTAACTTCACCGTCAATCTTTCAATCTTTGTGCCCCAAAGATTGGTTTAAGTGATACAGTAGTATGATTTTTATGGTTGTCAAACGCGTTCATATTCTCCGAGTTTCACCATCGGGCCACTAAATGTGGCCTTCATCGGGCCCAATCGGATTTCACGCAGCGAGTCTTGCGGCACAGCATTAGTTAGGGGCATTGTGGGAAAGCCATCTGTTGGGAGAAAGAGTAACTACTGAGCCATGCGGCACAGCATGATTCAGGCGTTCGAATTTACTGCCATCTAGTGATCGCCCTAGTAACTAGTGATCGATATTGCAGGGGGATATCGCGTTTGCAGGCTACATGCAAGCCAAACTTCAGGTCGATGTTTTGTAGACTGTAAAATGACAGATGTGAGGCAGCTTTAGTCGCACTTTTTAGCTGACCAAATCGCCTATGGTACTTGGGTCGGGCGCTGAATAGCTAATCGAGGCTCTTGAAAACGATCCAAGATTGGTCGATTTAACATGGAGAGCGGGCATCGTGCTAGGCTATCATTGCAGCACACTTTAAACTCCTTTTTCGACACACCCTAAGCCTGAGCCCTGACTCCTGAGCCATCCAGACCGCGGGTCGATTGTTGGATTATTGGAGGATTATTTCTATCCTCTTTTCTCGCTCTCTTGCGGTGGTCGAGTGCCATCGTGCATGATTCGACAGTCAACCCCCCCCCCCTTCCCTACACCTCCAAGTCACTTGGCTGTGCTATATAATTGAGGCATGTCTTGGGAAAGATTGACTGGTGAATAGTAAAACATTGTTTAAGTCAAAGTGTTGCATTCCTAATCTTAGATTAACATGGCCAAAGTTCCATGGAAGATGTAAGGTGCAGATGAAATCATCTATGCATCTCTGAAAGCAATCTGTGCTTTTCCTTCAGCACATGATATATGTCACATTCAACCAATAAACTTAACAAAATGAGAGAGTACATAATGGGCATAACTATGAGAGAGCTAGGAAAGATAAGATGGCTGAATTGACAGTTGGTAAGAGCAGACCTGTTGAAATGTGTGGCAGGGGTTAAAATGACCTGTCAAGTATCAAGTGAAATGGCATTAGTTGTGTGGGCCTCCAGGCTACTCATGTGAATGAACGAACTCAATGTGAATGAAGTTTGTGCCAATAAAGATGATGATGATGATAATGTTGATGATGATGATGACTCAACTGATTCAAGCAAACAAACATTCATACAGTGCAGTCAAAAAGGTCAAACACATTATATTATGGTGCAAAATATTCAAACTGTATTCACATTGCAATATCACACAGGAGTTACACTTGAATGAATGACAACACACAAAATAATGATAACATCACAAGAATGGTCTGGAACCAAGTGAGTCAACTACCAATCTCCACTCCATTTCTTGAACAGAAGTGATGAGGTTCAATTGTAACACAAATCAGGCTTTATAACCAAATCAAACCTTGTGAACTGACTGTCTTTAAGACAGAAGGTGAGGGACCCTGTGCTGCTATTTTCTGAGACTGGCAATTCAACTTTCAAGTGATGCAGCTGTGTTTATAACACTATAATCAGATGAACTATGAACACATAAGAAATGTAGACTTGCAGTTCATATACCAGGGTTGGAGTTGCCAGCAAGAAGGTGCCCTTTGTTCAGTAGAAGTACACTCCATACACAGCTGCCACACAGAACATTGAGTCATTGATGAACACGTCTGACGCATATGTGTCAGTGTCAGAGTCCCAAAGGCACCTCATACCCATCTTCACTCCTTCTCCAAGCTGTTCCCCAATCACAGTTTGCACAACTATTTTGTACCTCTCAAAGTTCATCTCCTTCATTCTTGTTCGCAGAGTTTCTGATATGTTCTTGATCCAAACCTGAGCTTCCTTGTCATTGTACGTTCTTCCGCCCAATTCTTCATTCAGTATGATCCTGATCTGTTCCTTCACAGCCTGAGGCCGAAACTTGTTCTCGAATTTGGGTCTGATCTGGTATGAGTGAGAGGCATCTAGCTCAATGCCCGAGCCAGCAGCAGATGGTTTGGGAGTGACAGATTGGCTTGCAGAGCCACTCATTTCGGCGCAATAATCTCCAACTTGTCTTCTAAAAAGGCAAAGATTGCAGACCAATTGTAAGTACAAATGAGAAGGACTATGACTGAATTATCATTGGAGAAGTAGGCATTGTCAGTGGCTAGCCTGTCTTGTGCAAGTATTGTACCAATATTGTACCAAAATAGCGGGAATTTAGGGCCTTGGCGGGAATCAAACCCAGAAATATATCACCCCCGATTGATAACCAGCCGCGTCGATTCTCGCGCGGGAAGTAAACAAACATTCGTTTCAACGTTCCTCTTGTTGTTCCTATTTAGCTGCAAAATTTTAAGCAACAAGTCAGTCTAATGATTGCGCGAACAATCATAATAATTTTATCAATGGTATATTCGAAAACCAATATTTTTACGCTAATATTAAAAAAAATAGCAAGAAAATATTCACTGGCCATCCACTTAGCAAAATTACTCAATTTCAGTGCCATTATATGCCTGTTTCCATGGCAACCACCTGTTCATGCCCTTCGGCCGCATGCATGTGTTTTGAATGGGATCTGGCTAGGTAGGCTAAATTACTGCCGACGTTTTGCTGCTGGGCCTCCGCACCACCCGCCAGCTGCTGGGGGGGACGGGGGGGCGGGGAGCTTTGCTTCTCTGACGACATCGTCGCAACTCGCAACGCGTAGAGATAGAGAAGCGAAACTTTGCGTACCAGTGTCAGGAGGCCCATAAACGTCAAGCGCCCGTCCCGCTTCGAACCCGAACTGTATAACCACGGGAACGCGTGCTCTCACCACGCGGAGTCGAACGCTCTACCGACTGAGCTATAGGTACAGGACCGGCTCCGTGGGTACCTAAGTTGTGTCCAAAGTTGGTGTCGATCCCATTTCAAATTACGTCACAATGATGACGTCAGAAGTCGAATCATACATTGGAGTTTCTGAGTTTCCTACGACGTGTCGGGTCGCGGCCGGCCGGCCGCGGACCATTTTCAGAAGTGGCGGGCAGACCGTGCGTCGAGTACTTGCTTTCTCGCGCGGCGGTACTGGGGTTCACTAGCATTGATTAAAATATTTTCATTTGCCATGAACTTGAAACTATACACTGTAATTAACGATCATTTGTCAATTTTTACAAATTCTTCGAAATTCTTCTTTGAAAGCAAATGATTTCATTTCACTTAAGAATTGTCTTGTCCACCACTACAACCACCACCCAGCCGCCATCCATTGGAAGAGATAGGCTCTGCGGCACAAAGTGTCGTTTTAAACTGGACTGGGAACCAATGTGTGATGCCATTTCGAGCTAAATTTATGCTCATTATGTACCTAGAAGCATTGGGAACAACGCTCTGACTGTACATTTTTAGATTTTTGCCTCTAAATGAAAATATTTACAATCAAGTACTTTGCGAGCGCAGTTTAGAAGCTCCCGTAATGTTAAAGTCCTATCTCCTACACGCATGTAAATACTGCTCTAGGGAACCAACAGTTCGCATCGTACTAGCTTTAAATTATATCCATATTGTTCCCAGTACTTTCCTGAACACTGTGGTGAGTGTACATTTTTCGTTTTTTGCTTTACAAGCGTAAAATTCGTCTGGTTTTACACCACTTCATTCGCCTCCATAGCCCCGTAACGGCGCCGCGCGGCCCAGCCGGCCTGCGCCCGCTGTAGTTCCAAACACTGCCCGATAGATGGCAGGCGCAGAAGTGGTCCCAGCCGTCCCGGTACGATATGTCCGATATATGGGACCGAACATATAGGACCGAAAAATGGTCAGGTAGTAGGTACTCGGGAGCTAAATCCGTCCTGTAAGTTTCGTTTCCCTGCCAAATAACTTTTTGACCGGTAACTTTGCAGGGCAGCGCCAATTTTGACCGTGCAGAGCCTCGTGCAGAACGACGTAGGTATAGGATGGGATAGTGACCCGGGCTGACCTGAATAAGCAGCAGTGGTGCCAGAAGATCAACAGATCTGAACGGCCTAAATCAGTGGTCAGCAGCAATCCGTCTGTAAAATGTCAACTCTTTTTCTCCAAAGCGTTCCGAGCAGCTCATGAAATTGATCGTCAATGGGGAGGAAAGGGATAGCCTCTATCCACCTCCTTCGGGGGTGAGGATTATGCCGTCGCCGCTGAAAAATGAAACAGTCACGAGTCGATTAAAGCCGCTCGTCAACATGCTCGTTTGGCCCCAGTTCAACGTTTTCGCTTTCAGACATAAGCCGTCGAAATAGACGGTTTAATGCAAACTATTTTCGCGAAATGACCTTTGACGCATTAACTTTTGCCACTGATCTCAGTGTCTTGTTTTTAATGAAAACTTGTCGAATTAATAGAAATCATCTTTCGAAGGTGAGCTTGAAAAAAATGCCACATGTGAAGACAGTGACAGAAGACGGTCGTTACGCATTCTTAGTCGATCCACTCTTTCGATCTAGCAAACGTCAATCCAAGGCGCCAATCGGTATCGTTGAGATGAATGAAGACCTCAGGTGTTTTCATTGCTTTTAACACGATTCTATCAATAGGTATTCATTTATGGACGAAACGCTGTGAATCGCTCATGATATCGCATGACCTAAGACCAAAGGTTCAATTTGGAGTTCATGAATATATGTCACTCCTATTCAAGGTTTCAAGTTGGTCGACCCGTTTCGAGCGTACCTTGCCGTTTTTTATGTTTGGCCCAGGAGCTGAATTGAAAAGTGCTTGTCAACCCTCCCCCTCTCCTCCTCGACGAGCTACGATTAAACCATCACCACGATGCAGGTTAACCGGGTGGGGCTGGGGGGTAAATTTTACCCCCCCCCCCTCGCGAATTTTTGCAATATCTCAAAAACTGCGGCGCGTAGAGCCGCCAAGCTTTCAGTACCTTTTTGTACATCAATTTGACACCTTCTCTGAAAATTTGAGCGAAATCTGTCGGAAAATTTTTGAGAAATTGACGTTTTAGTGACGTCATGTTCGCCATTTTCGCCTCAAAAACGGCAAAATTTCAAACGCCGCGAACATCTTCATTTTTAAAGGAATCAAGAGGTAACAAAAAAGTTAAACGTAATTCTACTTTGTCTATCAAATGGCTATCTCGATTTTTGAAAATTTTGGATTTTGGCCCAAATTTTTTTCAAAAAACTGACTTTTGGGAAAATAATTATAAAATCCAAAATTTTGAGTGTATCGAAAAAAACGGAATATATGTCAGAGAAGTGGTCTATGTGCACCCACATACCAATTTTTAGAAGAATCGGCTCAAAAATGTGGGAGTTATTCAAAATTTTATGACGTCACGACACACAAAAATTTTAAAAAATGATTTTTTTTTTGAAGTTCTGGACCTCGTACGGAAACAAAAATAGCACCATTCGATTCGCCGTGAAAAACTGCATCAGATAGACACCTTTTTAGGCCTTAACAACCAACCAAAATTTGACCTCACTTGACCTGACCTTGACCTGACCTCGACCTGAAATTCATCCAGAGGTGGTCCATATCACTAATTGAGTGTGCCTATTGAATTCTATGAGTAAAATGACCCATAAAACATGTGTCGCACATGCCCTTTTCTACATTTTGTTTTTTGGTGACCTGACCTGACCTCACCTCACCTTGACCTTGACCTCTGAATGATATTGTATGCAACGAATATTGTCTTGGTAGCCTAAGAACACGTTTTGGGCGATCAGTCTCAGTCCATGACTCCATTCTCCGGCAACTACGGTGCAAGGCCGATACTGTAGAAACTTGCAATTTGTACCCTTGACCTGACCTTGACCTTGACCTCAAACTTTAAATTAAGTACATGTTTTTAGTTGTTCGTGATGAGAGCTTTCGATTGGCGTTTGAATTTTCCAAATCAGACCATTAGTTCGGGAGATAACAGGGGGTAAAATTTACCCCCCCCCCCCCTCAGCCCCGCGCGTTCGGCTGGAGACCCCAGCCCCGCGCGGGTTAAGCGAGTACACATCACCTTCATCTCATGCCAACGATTTTACGCATCAATATCACGCTGGTAGTCTGAGTCTGCATTTCAATGGATTTTTCCAATATGATAATAAATAATGGTGATCATGAAGCATTAGAACCATAAGAATGGTCAAGAAAGACACGTAAGAGGCAATTTCAATCAATATCCATAGGTATTGTTGAGAAGAAGACAAATAACGGAGTGGAAAGATTGTTCATACGTGTCAGTATTGTTACGTCTATTACCTACATTACGTCTATCCTTAGTCACGCGGCACAATCCAATGCATTCAATCGCAAAATATGTGAATGGGCACTTTCAATCCCGTGTAAACAATGTAACAAGATAAGGATTGGCGCTTCTAAGCACATACCATCCTGACGCCACCACATTACAAACACTTACGGGTGAGTGCGGCCCCCCTCCCCGCTCCATAGCCGTTGCTGACATTTCGGCATTGGCCACTTTTCTGTCTGGGGTCGCAACTTTTCAAGTGTGTAGAAAAACATGTAGCCATCTCTCTGCTGGCTTTCACCGAGTGCATCCGATTCGCGGATTCGACTAACTCGGTGGTCATCGTAGCGGAACCAGCATTCGCGTTCAGCGCTGTAAACGGTGGCCACGAAGTGGCCCGCGTGAGTATCGCCGCCATAGTGGCTTACCACGCCTACTAGCTGGTACGCGTGGTCACCGGCCAGGTTCGCCGGGCACGGCGACAGGTTATCCCCCGCGTGGGGCTCTGGCAGCTGTGCCTGTTCAGAGGCCTCTGTCACTTCTGTTTGCCGTATTTTAACCTCCTGCGGTTCACAGTTTTTGTCTTCGTTAGTCTGTGGCGGCTTCCACTCGGATTCGGCGAGGTCTAGCTTGGATGGCGGTATTGACATCTCTGCTGCAGCCACCTCTGACGAGGGAGGAACCGATGTCGTGATTCGCAGTGGTGCTGTGGCCCCGACTGGATCCAGCGGAGTGGCAGCTCGAACTGGAGGTGACGGTCCAGAGGCGAGCGGTAGTCCTGAGTGGTCTGGCTCAGACTCCTCGGCGTCGCTGAGCGTGCCCATTGTTGGGCGCCGATGTAGGGAATCGGTGACCTCACCTGCGACGTACTTATTTAAGGACAAAATCTTAGGAATACCAACACTGGCACGGATCTTCTTGGGCCTATCTCCAAGAAAGGCGCAGCGATTCAGCTGCAGGATCAGAGTCCTGGGTAGCTGACTGATCTTCAAGGTGACGCAGGATTCATCGTGGCCGCAGTGCTGGCAGAGCATGGTGCGTCGTTCGGGGCACATGCTGAGATGTAGCGCTTCCTGCAGTGTCGGTATGTCGGTGCTCTGGCGGCGTGGCACGTTGACAAACCAGCAGATGTTATTCAGGTGCTTCATCACCGTCTGACCACATTTGATGCACGTCTTACTCTCCAGGATCTGATGTTGAAAATGTTCTAAAAGAAAAAGTGATTGTTTCTGAAAAGAAAAAGTGATTGTTACTACCACTTCCTTAATAATGAAAAATTTATTTGAAAGTTTGATGCGCGACGAGTGCGCTGTCCTTTACAACATCATAACGTATCGAAAACGTTGAAAATTGACCATGAAACACACATATTCGGATAGCGTATTCTTTTCTGATCAATATCCACCCAAAACATTATCAAAAAGTCAATAAACTTCCGTAAAAATGACTCAGGCATACCACCGTGTTTTGTTAACGTTAGACTACGTCTAACGTTAGATTACGTCTATATCCGGCTGTCAGTAAGTCGAAGATTACTTGAGTGTTAGTCACGTTCCGAAATCAAATGCTGGAATTATTTGTCGAAAGGTGTTTTTCAGCTTTATTTAATCAAAGTTGTACCATTTTTTTCTTTGTCCTATGCTTCTTTTTTGTTTGGTTTATTGCACATTCTTCTGAAGCTCGAAAAGTATTTTTTTTTTTGAAGAAATGAAACATATTGACCTTATATCATTCAGTTTCCAATGAAGCAATTCTAAAAATCTCATGAATCGCTCGAGTGTGTAACCCTTTTCAAAATGTACCATGTAAAAGCAGTTTTACTTGCGGTGTTTGCAGTCGCGCAGGTGAATGGAATGGTAAAATGGCACACCCTATCAGACCGTCTGCACCTGAAAAAAATTGCGGAACCATCTTACAGCCCCACGGAGAAAATTATGATTAACCAGTTGTGGGTTTATAATGATATTGCCAAGAGTGAACCAGGCAAGTATCCTAAGCTACTTGAGGTTGATATAGATTTAACAAACGAACAGATGAAAAGATATACCGTTTATGGCTTTTACTTTGATAACACAAGCCCTGCTATTGTCGACTTATGGAAAGGCGGCGTGATTCCATACCGTTTTTCGAGAACTGAGACGGTTAATGATAGATCACCATTTATTGAAGCTATGAATGGTTGGACTGCTCGCGTTCCGTGTATCAAGTTCGTCGAAGATAAGACAAGTAGTGATGACAAGGTGTTACATATTGTTCAGCGAAAACTGTCCTTTGCTTCTCTTGGCTACAGACCTGAAAGAAAGAAGCATATTCTGTCCGTGGCCGACGTGGCTCAAACTAAGCCTGTGATCATGCACTTGCTGGGCCATGTTTTGGGACTTGCACATAGTCATTCTAGGCCTGATAGAGACAGATTCCTTCTGTGGATGCGCGAAAACGTCGACATAAGAGACGTTTTATATCTCAACACCCAACAAGATTGTCCTTATGACTTGGGATCGCTGATGCACTATGATCAGTACGCCTTCACAATGGATAGAACCGAGGAAATGTCGTTTATGGTGAAGGAACAATCTTGGAGCGACAACCCGGTAGTCCAGAGCGCTATAGCTCCCAAGGAATACGACACATACGCGCTCAACTATGTAGTCGGCAGGTGGGATGCGCCCTCCCTCACCGACAAATATCGCGTGGAGTCGGCGTATCGGAACGAGGCAGGATGCACTCCAACCAGCACCGACTGCATCCCAATGGTGTTCGGCTACGAAGACGTCAAGGTTCTCCCCGCGCAGTTCCTCATTGAGCCGAAGACGGCGTTCGGCAATCGCCTGCTGTTTGACACGGAGAATCCCGAGGACAACGCCTTCACCATCAACCTAGACACCCTGCCGACCAACCAGTACAGTCACGACATCATCACCACGGGCTCTCTGGACAAAATATCGGACGACCCGTGCGCCCGCACGCTCTGGATCATCCAGCCGGCTCAGGAGCCCACCATCGGTCAGCTGGGCTTTATGCTCCTCACCGGCTGCTCCTTTATGAAGTTTGAGTTTTACGATTACCTGTGGGACCATCACGAGCTATTCTGCGCGGCGCAGTTCGCCAGGCTGTATCGTAAGGCGATATTCACCTCCAGTAGCACTATCATGCACCTGCGTGTGCATAAGATTGATCACAAGGAGGTCAACTCACTGGTGAATGGCGTGATTAAGGTGCACAGCTACCAGGACTGGATCTGCTCCGGTAACGCTGTGAATTTGAAATGCTCCGGTCTGCCCGACCCGAAGCTAGTGGCTTATTTCTTGCCATAATCTGAGTTATTGTGAAACATTTTAGCATTTTCTGGCCATATAATTTATCGAAAAAATTGCGTGCAATAAATAATTCGAGGTTTTTGTTGATGAGCGTTTTTTCTCTCTTTTTAGAAACGCCGAATACCTAAGTATTGCATACTGATAACTTGCCATTAATTTATATACGCATTAACCCGCGCCCCGCTGGGCTATTCAGCCATACGCGCCCTGCTGGGGGGGGGGGCAGATTCTGCCCCCCCCCTGTCTAACTTCCGAACCGATGGTCGTAAAAAGACGGGGAAAACGGCAATCGAAAGCTCTTAACAAGGCGGATCTTAAGAGCCCAATTTTTTTTGCTTAAGTAGGTCAGAGGTCAGGTCAAGGTCAGGTCAAGGGTACAAAATGCAAGCTTCTACAGTATGATCGGCCTTGCACCGTAGTTGCCGAAGAATGGACTGACTGATTGCCCAAAACGTGTTCTTAGACTACCAAAACAATATTCGTTATATACAATGTCATTCAAAGGTCAAGGTCAAGGTCAGGTCAGGTCAGGTCACCAAAAACAAAATATAGAAAAGGGCATGTGCGACACATGTTTTATGGGTCATTTTACTCATAGAATTCAATAGGCACACTAAATAAGTGGTATGGACCACCTATGGATGAATTTCAGGTCGAGGTCAGGTCAAGGTCAGGTCAAGTGAGGTCAAATTTGAAGTTGGTTATTAACCCGGCACCGCCTGGGCTATTTCCGTACCCACGACAGCCTGGGTCGGATCCGACCCCCCCCCCTGTTATCTCGAGAACCAATGGTCGTATCGAGCCCCGCGAGGCGGCGTTCGAAAGGTCTCTACGAGACCTTCCCAAAGCACTCTTAGGATTTTAAGATTGAGGTCAACTTTCGGGTCAAGGTCAGGTCAAAGGTCAAATTCTGGGGTTTTGCATGATTAGGCTTACGGACAGCGGTATCGATAGCTGCTGCTCGAAACTCACCAAAAATGACCTCAAAGACCTAGTGAAGGTACCATGTGCGTATAGGGGTCATATTAAGTACGGGTCAAGGTCAGGTCAGGTCACGAAAGGTCACGATTTTCACTTTCTGCTACATGGGCGTGCGACACATGTTTTATGGCTTATTTTTCACGCCGAATCCGATGGTGATGGTTATATGTGACCCCAAGTCACTGTGCTGGTGATAAGTGTGCATTGAAAGCATAAAAAACCGTTTATACCATACATAACTAAATGAGGGCCAGGAAAAAGTCAATTTTTCAACTTTTTATTTTTGACATAAAAAATGCACTTTTCTAGTCGAGCTTTGTCCCAGGAATCTATTGGTGCCATTTGTTTTCACATGCGATGTTCAGAAGTGCCTCTAATTCACGAAAATGCTTATGACGTCACCATGCCCTATGCATGTTGGAGCTATTTTTTACAATTTGGGGGTCAAAAATCAAGATAGAAAGTTCAAATTTGGGACATCTAATGATGTTCTGATAAAGCTCTATAACATTTATTCCGGTTTTTTGGAAATTCTCAAAATTTTGGATTTTATTAGCTGTTTTCCAAAAAAACATAGTTTTTTGAATTTTTAGGGGTGAAAAACGTTTTTTTTTTTTTGGAAAATCCGAGGCAGTCATTTTTAAGAACTCGTTGAGCTGCGTCTATTCATGTTCTTAATTTGCAATTTGCTTTCAACCTTGGTTTTTGGCGATTTTTTTAAACATTTACCACTTTTTGACTGAAAACGCCATGTAGTTACATCACTAAAATCAATATATCTCAAAAAGTTTTTGAAAATTTTTCTTAAAAATGACATAGAAGACGTCAAATTGATAGGGGAGAAGGTTTGCCAAGTTTCAAGTTGATAGCGTAAGCGGTTCGTGAGTTATTAAAGAAAAACGGAGGGGGGTCGGTTCCGACCCCCAGGCGTTGCGGGTTAAGGCCCAAAAAGGTGTCTATCTGATTGCACCCCCCTAAGCTTTTTTCGCGAATAACTCGCGTAAAAAGCGGCTGATCGCGACGAAACTTTAAGTACCCTCGCATTGATCACTTTTATACCTACCCTGAAAATTTCATGACCCTGACCCCAATGACCTTTGACCTGTGACCTCTTTTCCGTGACCATGTTTGGCCGAAATCGCGATTCGGCGTATGTCGGCTCGCATTAACCGCGCGTTTGCAAGCTTTTCGTGGTTTCAAACGTTCAAACATGTGATTTGATGTTGCTCCCATGCATTAGGGTGGGTGTCAAGGTCTCCTGAAGGTCAGGTCAGGTCATTGACCTTTGGTGACCTCGGTTCACTTATTCGAGTTTTACATGTTTCTAGGCTAGTTTTTTGAGCTGAATTCGAATCTAGCAACCATTTGAACATTTACGAAGTAGTTTTGGTGCCCTCGTAACATGTTACGAAGCTGTCAGAGGCGGGTGACAGGTACTACGAATACCTGTCACGACCCATACCGGTTGACCTGACCTGACCCGACCTGGTATAAACGCTTAACGACATCATCTGTGATCAAAACTAACACGATATTCGTGATCAGAATACCGGAGAACCCCTTAGCAGCCACGCTTTACGACTTTCTAACAGGTCCCGATATAACAGGAACAGGACCCGCCTAGGAATTTTGATAAAATACTCAATGCTCCAACGTTGCTGCTCCCCCAATTCCATCCCTGGGGCCGCCCCTGCCGGCTACACATGTCTGCCGCTCCCCTCCCGGCCCGGCTCACCTGGCGCCGCCCCTGCCGCTCCGACCTGCCCCCGGGCGGTGGCCGGTCGGCCGGAGCGCGACTGGTCCGCCGCGCGCGCGAGCTTTCGCTACCAGAGGTCGGTGCGTGCGGGCGGCTTCCGGCGTGGTGACTGTTTCTGGAACGATTTTGAGGTAAGTATGCCTTTTTATCGATTCTGGGTCGTTTTTAGCACTCTGGTGGGGATAAGGATAGCTAACCGGCCTTTTAAATCGGGGAAAGGGAAATGTGCACTTTGAAGCCCATTTTGCGGCGCTAAATCAATGTCAGCTTAAATACTGACACCGCTGTTTGTGAAAACGTCAGCTAAAATGCTGATACTGCTTTGGTGCTAAGTCGTTGTCCCATTTTACTTAGTAGTATTATGTATAATAGTTCAATAAATTTCTATTGCACCCTTGTCCCTGACCCAAAACATGGTTAAAGTTCGAAGCTATCGGTCCCCGGTATGTGCCGCTGATCCCTCATGTCCGCTTTTTACGCCTTTTTCAATGCCTGCGTTGCTATTTCTAGCCGATCGTCTGCAGAGTTGTGCCGCTGCCTGTCCGTCTGCATCATGGCTGCTGGAGAGGGGCCGGTCCTCGCCACCGCGCCGGTCCAATGTCCGACCGACCTATCGCTGGACACTCTGGACGGTAAGTTTCTTTAGGACGGCGGTGTAATCGCCATTGTGTTATGAATTTAAATATACAAATTAGCAACTTAGTATGATAAATGCGAGGAAACGACTAATTTTAATCATATTTCAACGACAAATTGCAATGTTTTTTAAATATTCTTTGCATCTGTCATTATGGTGTTTTTCATCACATTTGTTATGCGGTAGAGCGTCTATTTTACTGCAGTGCATTCATAACATCGTGTCATTTCTCCCACAGACCACAGCTCATGTGCGGCAATACGAGCGGCGCCGTTGGTACCGAGATTAGAAACGTCCATCTGCCGGTCAAAACTCAACTGCGGCCTGCGGAAACTCCAGCTCTCTCACAGGTACGGCATACGTCTGCAATTATGAGTGAATGAAATGAAATGAACTACAACATCTTTATGGGCGTCATATGACCATAGTAGTTGGTGTGCCCTAAATCGCTCATCAACAAGTGATAACGATTGAGTTTACGGTTAGCATTAGGTCCTGTCTGTTTATTAATGATAGTCTTTGCAGAATTTCATGAACTGATTCCACTGTTGTTTTTATTACATGTAAGGACGTCTGGCAGTTCGCGAGTTGGGGACACTGCTCCAGTATACCGACCAATGGACGTCACTTCAATGGATCGCGTCACAAACTTGACCCGGTGAGTATGTATATCAGGGTATACTCGTGATCCTATTTTCATTTTCATATAGCGTCTGAGTACTCGTATATTGGTTTAGCTAATCCACTTTTACTGATCCGGATCACAAGTGCCATGGAAGTCGGGTCACTGAGTTTGCTACACGATTACTAAAGACGGCGAGCAATGTGCACTGATGAAAAACGAGACAGATACGAAACGTGAAGAGAATTTCTGTGCACTGAGTGGTTAGGTTGTGATGATAACCGAAGTGACGTGCCTCCCCTCGTGCCGTTTCAGTGTTTGGCGGTGTCGGGGCGGTCTCCCGGTGCCGAGTCCCGTCCGGCGGCTGTATTGTTGACCCAAGATGCCGTTCCGTCGTCCGAACTCCGGCTGCTTGTGACCTGGCGCCGGACAGACTCCGAACGGTAAAGGCGTGCTGAGAACGGCATTTTTATCGGAGTCTCTGCATTTGGGCTCATATGAAGCAGTTACTGGTTAGGAAGGTGAAAAGGAACCCCTGATTTGGCTCTTTTCCAGTCACTTCTCTACCAGAGTTACAGTTGTCTATAACAAAATTGAGTATGTTGCTTTTTCAATTTACGGGGACAAGGGAAATCAGTTAACCCATAATCGTAGGGGGACGGGCAAAGCGGCCCCTCTCCTTTTCCATCTATATCTCCTGAAGTGTTGCAGATATCGTCACCAAGCTTTCCAGGCCCCTCTGGACATCAATTTACAGATATTTGAGAAAAAACATAAGGCTATGATAGATTACCCACAAATGACGCCAGAGTGGCGTCATGTTCTGCCCTTTTTGCTCCAAAATAGGTTTTGCGGGAAGAGCTGTCACGCCTACAATTTTGAAGATAAAGGAAAATATTTGAAACTAATCAGTTGTAGATTAATGCCATGATGTTAGTAACAAAAAAGAACACACGTTTTCATAAATATTATTTGAAAAAATAGGCTGACGATTTGCTCATCTAAGACTTAGCTCCCATTTATTTGGCAAATACCGCATAACGTATGGCTGCACCAAAGTTTATTAAAAAGTGTAAAAAATAACATACATTATTTCGGTATTTATCATTTGTCTATTAGGTACTCTATCTGGGAGCACATTTCATTTCTCTCTACTCCATCATTCAATTGCGTCGTCATATTTATCAATCGCTGGATGTGGAATTTGGAAAAGGTTTCGCAGTGCCGACCCATTTTCTGTGTTTTACCGGCCGCGGGGGCTGCGCGCCGTGCGGCGCAGCATAACATTCAGGCGCTGTACACTAGCGACATCTATGGGCCGGATCATAACGATGCGGCGCAGTATACCCTTAGGCGCTATGCACTAGCGACATCTGTGAACAGGACTCTAACCTTGCGACGCAGCATAAATTCAGGCGCTGTACACTAGCAGTAGCGACATCTGTGGGAACGATTGTAACGATGTGGCACAGTGTGCGCTTTTACTGCTTCTATGCCTCTTGTTCAGTCATCAGATTGTCTGCCACACTTTTCTGAACAATGTGAGATAAATTTGAAATCATGTGGAAATGATTTCAAACTCAAATGCAGAAAGCGGACAGGCTGTAATATGCATGCATCCATGTAGATCAGTGATCACGCCGCAAATTCTGAATTGTAGCGTGTAAAAATCGGCAGGGAACACCTTTTTCTTTATCCGTCTCTAATCATTGACTGATCAAGTAAATAGCCTGCTTTAACCCGTGCCCTGCTGGGGGGGGGGGGGTGTTTGAACACCCCCCTTGTGGTTTTTCGCGAATATCTCAAAAACGGCGGCGCGGAGCGCCGCCGTTTTTGGAACACCTTATCATACATCAATTCTACACATGTTGTGAAAATTTCAGACCAAGGTCGTTCAAGGTCAGGTCACCAGGTCACTTGAAGTGACCTCACCTCATAAAAAGTTTCAATGTCTGTCATAGCTACACCGAGTGACCGATCGCTTTGAAACTTTCAGCGATTGCTAAGAGCAATAGCATGTACAAAATGTATATCTCAGAATTTTGATATCGATGACCTAAGGTCAGGTCAATTTTGCGACCTCCCCATTATAAGTCAATGGGAGAAAATTGAAATGCGCCTCTTTTGGACGAAAGACATTATAAACACTCCCAAACACTGAATTTCAGGTGGTTTAGACACACTGAACATGAAAATGGTGTCCGTGACCCCTGTTTATGCCCTGAGGTCATCTTAGGTCACGAATGGTATCTAACAGTTTTTCGCAAATAACTTTTGATAGAGGCATGCTAGAGCGATGGAAACGCCTTAGGTGTGTTCAGCTCGACGATACGGATTGACTGATATGCAACATTTCCCTTTCCGGTCAGGTCATGACCTTGACCTGAGGTCAAATTTTGAAGGTGACCTTTCAAGGTCAAGTTATAGTTCATTCGATGCGTCTTGACGAGAGGAACACGATGCCGGTAAAAGTAAGCTCGTACAAGGCTTGGGTCAAAAGTTATTGCAGAAAAACTGTTTCCGAAAAAATCGGCTATTTTTGCTGTTTTTGCCCCCTGCAGGCAAAACCGTTGACGTTAGGTCAAATCTGAGAAAATTATTCAGAAAGGGCGTTAATAGGGCTATCGAATGCGCTTTTCCGCGGCGCTGTAGCTCTATTGGTTCCCGAGTTATGCGTTGGCTTCTTGGAAATCGTCGACATTCGACCTGGAAATAGGCGAAATTTTGCCTTCAATGACCTCTGGTGACCTGACCTTTGACCTGACCAAAAATTTGACAGAAGTGATTTCGTCATTATTTTTGACGTTCTTTCGAACGCCGCCTTCCGCGTATCGCTACGTGGCCCAGAAGCCGAGTTAGAAGGGGGTGTTCAAACACCCCCCCCCCCCCCCAGCAGGGCGTGGAAATCCAGGACCCCCAGCCGGGCGCGGGTTAAGACAAAACACCTTTTTGTCGAGTTGGTTCTTCAAAAGCTTCTTTTGCATGGACCAGCTTCATTTTGATGAGCAGGTAAATGGTTTTCGCTAAAAATTTCCCGATTTCAAAAGTTAACTTCACGAATCAGCTGCTATGTCGCTTTGAGATGCATTCATACTCGATTGCGTGTTTACAATCTAAACACATTAACAGTGTTGCTGACGCTGTTCCATCTTTCTGCGACAGGTGCGGCAGTACAGTATGGAGTGTGGCGCCGGTATACAGCTGACACCAGACGTCCGTCCATCGGCCTCGCACCTGGACAAAGGTAAGTTTATCTGCAAAACTAATGAAGGATAAATGGAGTTCTGTGGTGTAAAATTTATGGAAATATAACGTTAACTTTCATTTATTTTGACCTTGCCTTGGCTTTCAGCTTACATCCGTTCACACTCTGGAAGTCTCATTAATTCGTGTTCTCAATTGTTGTTATTACTGTTTCTATCCATGCTTCTCTTCATTCATTAATTCCTTCGTACTGGCTGTTTCAGGTTCACCTCACCAGAGCGCCGGTGGCCCTGCTCCAACACACCACCGGGACCCGCCACAGGTTTCGGCTTACCAGGTGGGTCGGTGCACCGAAGGGGCACTGTAGCTGTTGTGACATTAATGCATGACTTCCGCACACTGGTTCCTCATGCGAGTCTGCGGGTTTGCGAGTTTTTAGCCCCTGAGAGTTTTCAAAATTCAAACAGCCCTTTGTACGTGTTTCGACACACAGAACCACCAATCCCCGAGAATGTGAATGTTCCGGCGAATGACAGTGGGCGAAATTTTCACCTATAAACGTTCCAAGCGCCTTCTCTGATAGGCGCTGTTTCATGTTTTTTGCTCATTTTTGCTCGAACATGACCTCAGTTTGACCTCAATAACTTCTGACCTAAGGTGACCTAAGACTTGAAATTTGGTGTGAAGGTGTCAAATTGATGCCCGGAAAGGTACTGAAAATTTGGCGGCACTGCGCGCCGCCGTTTGCTTGCTATTTAGGAAAAACCACAGGGGGCAAATTGCCCCCCCCCCCAAGCGGGGCGAGGGTTAAGCAAATGATCAAAGTAATAAAAGAGTAGGTACTAAAAGAAAAGAGGAGGAGTAATAGTAAAAGACAGCCTCTGTTTGCAAGATATCATTCACTCGAGCAGTGTGTTGTGCGTACGCATGTTAGCTATTCAACGAAGATAAGAAATTGCAGACAATCAATAAATTGCATTACTATGCAAAATATTCAAAAGTTCTCAATCATCGCATCTCGTGCTTGTAGTGGCAACGAACAACTTTCGGAAACTCGCAGTCCGCGTCTACATGAGAGGTCCAGCGTAGGATAGTCATAATTGTATGGTATAAAGTGCAACCGTTCAACCGAAAGTGACGCTATGCTGCCACGGTTTTACACATTTTTAGGTCTTTTAGAGCGTGCTCTTTATGTATCAGTTTCAAATTGTACAATATTTTTCTATAGCATAGGGGAGAACGGGGTAATTTGGCCGGTGGTGTAAATTGGCCGCGCCCACCTGTACGATATCTGATAAAAGTGAATGAAATAATTCTAGTCTATTCATTTCTCATGGGTAGAACTAACTCGAGGACAAATGTCAAAACCTTCTCCCTCATAGTTTTATTCAAATTAAATAAAACGTGTATTTCATTAGAAAATGGTAACTATTACTTCCGTTTAAAAAGTTGTATAGCATGCAGTATTTGGAATATAAACGAATTCCGACATTATAGCCCCATTCTGCGGGGTGATCAGTAGTTTCGTACAGCCATGACGACTTTATAGACAAAAATTCTAAGAATAGCAATGTGGGGTTATTTGGCCGGGACTAGCGGGGCAACTTGGCCGGTGCGCTCAGGGTCGCTTTGCTGGGACGGCCGAGTTTTCATGGTCAATTATACCATCAATGACATAATTCATGACCAACTTTGAGACTACCTTGCTGCCTTATTTCCTATTGGACAGCTGTAAGGGCATGTGACGTCATTAAAGATAACCAAACATTTTTTGCTAAGGCACGCAAATGGTCTCATTGTGTTCAGCTCGTCAAGGCGCATTGAATGATATACCGTAAACCGGGGTGAGTTGATATGGGGTGGTGAGTTGATATAAATTGCTCGAAAAATGTTAAAATGTGTGCTGCTCATCCATATGTCGACCAATTTTCAGTTTTATTTTTCTGTGAAGTGAAGCAACCAATAAGTGATGCATATAGCTGAGAAAGGCATGCATGTGGTGCAGTGCCTTCTTAACACATTACTTTTTTCAAAGTCCTTTTTTTCTTCTGATTTTGAAACTAAGGAAAAGTCCCCACCCTACAGCAAAGACGGTGGATATTCATGGAACAACATGCACTGGGAAAGAAACTACCATAAATTTACTGTTGATCCCAGGTAGTTTTGGGTTTCACCTATAACAACGCTTTTTTATAATTTTAAGAAAAGTGACAGGTGGTGAGTTGATATGCCATCAAGTGGTGAGTTGATATGCATGATAAAAGCTGATACCAGGCTGGTATGCATGCAAATTAGCATGAAATAGGGGTCTGCAGGTAAGACAAAGTCAATTAGACCAACTCTTCTCCTTTTCTTTCCCCACATCATTCCATCAACCCCCAAAAGCTTTAGTTTTTTTTTTCTGAATGCTTGAGACGAGGCCTGTTAGTATCACTGATGTTAGTTGTCGGACTTTCGTCCCCGTCTTGAGTTGAGATGTTAGTTTCACAACGTTTCAGCCAGTAACCTCTCCGGCGATCGATAGTGGAGTGGTTACAACCGTGGACCATCACCGGGGAAACCCGAGTTCGATTCCCGCTGACTACAGGAGCTTTCGAACTGTTTGACGCGTACGGCGCAACGCCGCCAACATCCAGGTCCTTCTGAGGGTCAAAAAACACCTGACGAGTGACGACGGCCGGAGAGCAATTGGCCGAAAGGTTGTGAAACTATCTCAACTCAAGACGGGGACGAAGGCCCGACAACTAACTTCAGTAACCCCAAAGTTTTTTTTTTCTGTGGACATACCTAACATGCAAAAGGCACAGCACAACTCCCTGTCAAGTCTCAAGATGGCTCCCTACAAGCTACAAAGGAACACTATAGAACACCTATATACATACAGATTAAAAAACTGTTATAATTATTCGTAGTTTCGAAAATGACAGAACTGTCGTTTCTGTATGGCTAACAGCGCGGGAATTCTGATCTCGTGAAACTGATTAGTTTTCCTGCTTGGCAGTTGCCAACCGAGAATGAGTGACTAAATGAAATGGAACAAACAACATACAGAAATGGACTGGTGTTTTAGCCCTCGCCCGTATTCGTGTTTTGCCAGCGTTTAACGTATAGGGGGGGGGGGTCCGTTGGAATCCCATCGTCGTTTGGCCCCTGGTGGAGCTAGAGCTTCGCGGAAAAAAATGAGCTTGTTGCCCGAGACGCGAGGAAGCCGATGATAACCAACTTTAAGGTCCTAGGTCATTGGTTAACCTTCCAGGCCAGGTCAATTACCCAGAAGTCGGGAAAATAGGGGGTTATTTGAAGTTCGTAAAGCGAGTTTATTATTTTTTGGCTGTTGCTGATCACGAATGTCATGTTAGTTTTGATCACAGATGTCTTCGTACATTTAGGCCAGGTCAGGCCAGGTCAGGTCAACCAGTAGGTGTCCTGCCGGCTATCCATAGGGAGTGTCAAGTGTCAACTACCACTGACGGTGTCGTAACATGTTACGAAGGCACTAAAACTACTTCATAAATGATCAAATGCATGTTAAATTCGAAATCGGCCCGAAAAAAAACTACCCTAGAAACATGTAAAACTCCAAAAAGTGAACCTAGGTCACCAAAGGTCAATGACCTGACCTGACCTTCAGGTGACCTTGACAGTTGACACCCACAATACTGCGTGGGACCAACATCATTTACATGTCTGGATGTTACAATCACAAAAAGACTGGAAATGCGCGGATAATGTGAGCCGACTACGCCAAATCGCGATTCCGGCCAAGCATGGTCTCGAGAATCAGGTCACAAGTCAAAAACCATTTAAGTCAGGGTCATGAAATCTTTAGAACATGTGTAAAATTGATAAACTCGAGAGGTACTGAAAGTTTCGTCGTGATCGGCCGCTTTTTGCGCGAGTTATGTGCGAAAAGCCGAGGTGATTCGTTCGCCCGCCTATAAGTGCGAGGGTTAATTTTGGCTTTTGATGCCGAATTCTGTTTTATGTCGCTTATTTCACCTTATAGAATACAGTCCAAATTAGATTCGCTTCACTTCACTTCATTAATATTTTGTTGACTACCAGTCAACAAAAGCTCAGAAGTATATGTATTCTTTCATTTCAATCCATTATCTCTGTCAGAGGCATATCAACCTTGACCCGCAACTGACAATGTGTTTTAATTACAAGAAAATACACTTGTAATTCCAAAATATATTGCCAGTTTTGATACCGTTGGCTTGAGAACACGTGACTAGCCAAGTTCAGAATGTTCTAAGTAAAACTAAGTATCATAAAGTGAAAAAATGATGCTGCTAAAATCAATCCATTTTGATAGCGCTGTGTTGGACATGATTGCGTTTCCATGAATGTGAGGTCTGCTGCCAAACTACTACCATTTTTCTGATGGTTTCTTTGAAGATGTGTTCTCACATCCTTTTTTTAAACACTGGCATTTTATCAACTCACCTCTGAGCTTCTTTAGCCGAGAAATTTTGAAAAATCCAAAACCATATCAACTCACCACCCCCCAGGGGGTGAGTTGATATGAACTTTGGCGTTTTAAAAAAGGGGCTTAATATATACATTTTTTATTCATTTTTGCTTATTGCCTCCCCAAGGCATGTGCCATGAAACTGGCACAAAAAGAATTCCGTAAATGAATGTGACTTTTAAAGAAATCTAGAAAAACCTCAAAATCCGTATCAACTCACCCCGGTTTACGGTACATGATGACCTTGAACTCACGTGACCTTGAGGTCAAGCGACTTGAGGTAGCGTGACCTGAAGTCAACCTTTGACCTTGACCTCTCGAGGTCAACACATATATGTTTCGATGCGGACTGACTAGAGAATTACGATGCTTAGTTTTGACCTAGCTTGATTACTTCAAAAGTTATTCGTAAAAAAACTGCGATCGCATCTAGAGCCACTATTTTCGATTCCGGGTCTCTGGCTGAGTATAAATATATACATTACATGTATTGGACTGCTTATTTCCAATAATCAAATCTATATTCCTGACGTCCTTTCTTCTTCTTCCACAGGTCGTTTGCATGCGAAGAACTTCAAAGAAGGAGCACCAAGAGTCGGAGAGCAGAAGAACCTCGTCCAAAGGGGGGAGAGGGGTAATCGGGAAAGGAGGTATGCGTGCCTGCCTTCTCTCCTGATTGCCCCCTCCCTACCACGTATAGAGGGAGGGGGTGATCAGGGGGAGGTAGGTGAGCCTGCCCTCTCTCCTGATTATCCCCTCCCCTACCACGTGTAGGGGGGGGGGGTGATCAGGGGGAGGAAGGTGAACCTGCCCTCTCTCCTGATTATCCCCTCCCCTACCACGTGTAGGGGGGGGGGGTGATCAGGGGGAGGAAGGTGAACCTGCCCTCCCCCGATTGTCCCCTCCGCCGCCGTGTAAAGGGGGGGATAATCAGGGGAGAGGGCAGGCACACCTACCTCTCCCCGATTGCCCCTACCCTATGTGTAGGGGGCAATCGGGGGGAGGTAAGTGGGCCTGCTTTCTCCCCAGATTGTCCCCTGCCATGTGGGGGGGGGGGGGGGAGTAATCGGGGAAAGGAGGCGGGAGTGCCTTCCCTCCTGATGCTCCCCTCCCTGCCATGTGTGTGAGAGGGGGGGTAATCCCCTCACCTGCCGTGTATGTGGGGGGGGGAGTAAGTGAACATCAGAAGAAAAATACATGCTGGACTATCGTTGGTTGTTTATTTCTATCGCAACACACATCACGCCGGTAACACATACACGCCCCCCCCCCCTAGTTATTGGACGAGGGAGAGGGTAACAGGCGGTGCCCCCCGGCGGACCTGGGTCGGGGACGTGAGTGCGGGGGGTGCAGCCAGGCGGTGACTACCGTTCCCGGTAGCCACCACCTGGTGACTGACCCCCCCCCCCCCCAACAGACACGTCCCCGACCAGTGCCGCGGACGTGCGGGTTGGGTGGCGGGGGGGGGGGGCGGTCAGCCAGGTGGCGACTACCGTTTCTGGTAGCCACCACCTGGTGGCTGACACCCCCCCCCCCCGCAACCCACACGTCCCCGACACGAGTGGTCCACCGGGGACCATCCTGTCCCCCTCCCTACCCAGTATAGTGCTTGGGTGGTATGTCTAGGAGAAACCATACCACCCAAGCATGGGAGGGGGTAACCAGGAGAGAAGTCAGGTAGATCTGCCTCCCCCCGATTACCCCCTCGGACACCACCAGTCACATCCAGCGACTGTTGCGCGACACCACCGGTTCTGCTGCGATGGTCTTCATTGTGCTGATGGTGTCTGTGGTCGCCCGGACTGCAGAGGACACCGGCGCCGGTCGACAAAGACCTGCGGAAAAGAAGGAAGAACGTCAGGGATGTGTATTCTCTGAATTGACATGTTAGAGTAGAGAAGTCATGTCGGCCAAAAATACACAATCGGGGCTTTTTTGATCACGTGACATCTTAAACTTTTTTCGAAGAGTGACCTTGATATTTTCCCAACTGAAAGTCGCAATTGTCTGATGACGATTAAAGTCTTATCAATTGTCACTCATATGCGACAATAAAAAGTGGCTTTCGGCCTACATTGACCTGAGATCAGGTCATTTTTGTGACCTGTCCTTTATAAGTCAATGGCAGAAATATCGGCTACCACTGAAACGCATCTGACCGACTCAAATACTTTTGAATCATGTTGAGTTAGGCTGTTATTGATGACACTGGTGCAGCTTTGTATCAGTGACCCGCTGAAAGGTCATCCGAGGTCACGCGTTGAACACACAATAATTTTCCGTTTTTGGCTGTACCTTTTGATCTAATTACGAGCGAGCGAGCGCAGCGAGCGAAGCGAAGTCCTGTAACGCTTTTGAGAGGCTTATATCTCAGCAACCGCTGGACCGATTGCCCTGCGGTCTTTTTTGCTGGGTAGCCCCATCCCTTCTACCCCGTAATTGACTACTTTTGATACATCTCAGTGACCGTCGTGGCACGTGCCACGTGAAAAGTCAAGGGTGTTCAAGCAGTTTTGCAAAAGTAGTGATTTTGAGAGGCCCATATCTCAGCAGCAGCTTGAGCGATTGTCTTGCGGTAATTTTTATAGGGTAGCTGCATCCCTTCTACCAAAGGTCGGATACTCTTGATCTATGTGAGTGACCCCCAGTGCACGTGCAAAATACAACAATAAGGTGTCAAATTTTTTCCCATTTCAATAACTCGGTAATTGCTGGGGCGATTTCGCTGAAACTTGGCATACAGGTAGGCACCCACCAGGCAATGCATTGCCATGTGTTGCGGTTAGGGTGCTACTGCACGTGCGCACGTGCAGGGGGCGCTTCCAGATCTCGAGAACGGCTGGGCCGATTGTGCTCAAATTTGGTACACGGTTGGGGACCGGTTAGGAGGGTGCCGTGCAAAAGTCAGTTTGGACCCCGTTTGCACGTGCGCACGTGCAGAACGCCGCTTTCAGATCTCAGGAACGGCTGGGCCGATTGCGTTCAAATTTGGCACACCGCTAGCGACCGGTTAGAAGGGTGCTTTGCACAAGTCCGTTGGAAGTACCCTCTCGCCCTTCCGCACGTGCAGGGCTCACTATCTCGCTCGCTCGTCCTTCGCCCAAAAGGCGTTTTACTGGTAAAGAAAGAGACGTAGAATAGGCGCCAATGCGTTTGCTTTCGCCTAGCGCCAGTTCGTTTTGAACTTCAATACCGATGACCTAAGGTCAGGTCAATTTCTTGACCACCCCATTATAAGTCAATTGGGGAAAAATCAGCTGCCTTATTTTTACACTAAAAGTAAAACGCGTCGGAATTGCCTAATATACCATGAGTGACTTCATATACGACTAACTTTGACTACCTTGAGACCTTTTTTGCTCTTGGTCAACTGTGACGTTGCTCTTGGGTCATGTGACGTCATTAAAGGTCACCAAATGTTATACATGATGACCTTAAGGTCACGTGACCTAAGGTCAACTTCGCTGTCGCTCCCGCTCGTAATAATGGGTAGGTCATAAAAATGACCTGAGGTCAACGCAGGCCGAAAGCCACTTTTTTATTATCGCATATGAATGACAATTGATAAGGCTTTAATCGTGTTTAGACAAAATTGCGACTTTCAGTTGGGAAAATATAAAGGTCACTCTTCGAAAAAAGGTCAAGATGTCACGTGATCAAAATGTAAAGATGACCGTAAAGATAAAGATGTAAAGAAAACCACGTCGTGAAACTCCGTATAGAAGGTCAGGTCACCAGGGCCAGTTAAGGGACCATGCCTCTGAAAAAACTTCATTCATTCCTACAGATTACATCTCAGGAGATTGATAAGAGTAACAGTATGTACAAAATGTATATCTCGGAATTTTGATGTCTGTGACCTAAGGTCAGCCCAATTTTGTGACCTCTCCATTACAAGTCAATGGGCCGAAAACACCCTCAGACATCGGAACGCTTGTGAATGACACGACGTCGACTCAACAATACGAATCTGATGATATGCAACATGACCTTTTCTGTGACCTTGACCTGAGGTCAAATCTTTAAGCAGTTCAACTTAGGTTCATTCAACGCGTCTCGACGAGACAAACGCGATGTCGGTAACATACCTAAGCGTTAATTAATACAAGCTTGGAGTCACAAGTTTTACAGAAAAACATGTTCCGTTCGGCAAAAATGTACAATTTAGAGAAATTCTGCTCTCTGGAGGCCTCAGGCTACACCGTTGACCTTAGGTCAAATCTGAGAAAAATGTTCAGAAAGACCTTTAAAATAGCTATCGTCATATCAGTTGTCAGTTGTAATCGAAAATAATAATTCTAAAAGATCTTATAGCGTGCTATATATTGCTTTTTAGCGCATCTTTAAGGCTTGCTTACTTTCCAAGATAGTATGGTGTGGCCAAACCCCCCGCGGTTTGGCTTTGCTGCGCGCCACTGTTAGTCGCGCACATCAAATACATTTCAAACATTGGTATCGCTTATGTCGATACAAATGTCACTCGTCAGACATATCCGGGCGCGCGGGCCTCGTTGCCAATAGCGGACCGGCCGACCGGCCACCGCCCGGGGGCAGGTCGGGCGGCAGGGGCGGAGCCAGGCACACGGTGGAGTGGGGGAGGGAGGGGCAGCGGCCGAGGTGGCACCGGGCCCGAGGTCCGACCACCGTCTCCCGCCGCCTCGGCAGCGAGGTTGGTGAACATCAGGCTTCCACCCGGCAGTCCAGGGTTCAATTCTGGTCTCCGCCCGGCAACCGGGGGCGGTCGCGCTACGGTGCGACCGCCCCTGCGGCCGGCGGTGATCAGAATTGTTCCTTGGATTGTCGGGTGTAAGTTGTGATGTTCATAAGGCCCCGGGCCAGTAAGTCCGGGGCCGCGCACACCACAACTATATATTTGTGTCGACTGCATCTCCCCAAATTTTGGTAGCACACCTTATATCCATGCCACGAATCTAATTTGATTCTTGGCATGAATATAAACTGTGCTACCAAAATTTGAAGGGATGCAGCCGAAACTATACAGTCCCCAGACTGTGCGGTCACAAAATACAGGTGTTAGAGTAGGTAAAGTTATTACTTAAATGTACCTATATTACTAGGGAGGTTGCAACGACCCTAGTTTCGTTACAACGTCCCGGAACGAGCAGTTATTTTGTAACGTCCCTAGGGTCGTTGCAAACAAACTGATCGTTCAGGGAGGTTACAACCACCCTAGGGTCGTTGCAAACTAACTGAAATCGCATACTCCCTGTAACATATACTAGATGCCGGCAGCGCTCTTGCGTTGCCTTGGGCCAGAATTGGAGGAACGGTACTGAGGGCACACACCGGGCAAAACCACCGAAACCCAGACTGAGCTTGGACTGAACCTGAAACCAACCGAAACATCCCAAAAATGCTTGAAAGCACGCGATATTGGTGTGGAGATCTACCTACAGTAAGATATGAATTAACTGCACGTGCATAGTTCATGTCCCAGGCACCCCAGTGCAGTCATTTTCATAATATCATGTAGCGTGTGTCTAGTTCTATCAGTGTACCGACTTTTGTGTCGCTAGATCGATGTTTCCCGGGATCAGAGGATCCCTCGTCAAAACCGTTATCCGCCCCCCGCACGCGCAGCTTGCACCCCTCGGATATTATCTCGCCGGAATGTCGTGATCAAATGTATTCTTCTTATGACCTGCAAGTTTTGAACCAGTTAGAGCTGCCGTTTACCCTGCAGGCGTGGCAACGTACGAAGGGGTGCAATCGGCTTGCACGTGCATAGCTCATGCACCACAGAGTTTAGCTCAACCAAATGTGCATTATTTTGGAGGCCTTGCCTGGGACTACCATTGAACCGATTTTGAGGTTGATAGCTCAAAATTTCTTTGAGCCAGAGGACCTCACGTCAAAACGGTTTTCCGCCCCCAGCACGTGCAGCCTGCACCCCTCGCAGACGGTGACCCCCCTGGAAACTGGTTCAAGGTGTTACCGATGTGTCCCGCCAGTGTGGCTTTGTCCGTGACCTCGGGTTGACCTGTAGCCTTGACAAAAAAATTTCGTGTCACCGAAACTTTGAAGCGGAATAGCATGTGCCACGAAGCACTGAGCGAACCGAGTCGATCTAACCTAGGCCAGTACCAAAAGTTTACCTCAGCTCGCCGGAGCCGAGTCGAACGGTCCCACTTTCGTCCCGATCGGTCCACCCATTTTGACTCCAGGTCCAAAAAAGCTTGGACAAACTCACTCACATACTCACTCACATACTCACTCACACACTGACAAACAGGCTTGGCCGAACTTTTCTTCAGCGACCCACCAATGGGAATTTCCGGATGCAAAAGCATGCTATCGCATGCTTTTGATCCTCCAATTCTGGACAACGACCTTAAAAAAGATTCGATGTTATTTGACATATATGATTAACCCGAGCCGGGCCGGGGGAGGGATGTTTGAACACCCACGTGCGGTTTTCGCAAATCTACTATTATAAATCTTAAAAAGTCCGCCGCCGCCCACGCCGCCGCCGTCGGGGTTACTCCCAAAAAGCCTTATTGCGGCGCTGTCGATGGACGCAGGAGGGTGAAATTTTTACCAGTTGTGGGTCACGTAATAAAACAGGTCGTATTAAATTTTGGGCACGATGCGGCAAGGGGTGCGCCCGTGGCGCGTGCTCATGTGCGCCATAGGGTTAGCATTAGAATCGGCAAAAACAGGCTATTGCTCGGAAACGGTAAGGGCTGCGGGGGTGAAATTTTCACGCCAAGTCGAGCCCGTGCATTCATTTGTCGTATTAAATTTTCGACGGTGTGGGTTCAACGGTGTGCACGTGATGGGGCCGCGACCGGCGCCGAGCAGAGGGCACGTGCTT